TGAGCCCTTGGGAAAGTGGAAGACATCGCCGGGCTTTGCCTCGACCTTCTGGCCCGTCTCGTCTGAGATCGTGTAGTCACCCTCAAGGATGATCTTCATCTCGTCGTACTTGTAGGTGTATGTAAGCGGTTCGCCCTTCTTCAAACGGAAGAGGCCGGATGAGATGGGCTTCTCGGGGTTCGACTCGTCGCTTGAGAAGACATCTCCGAGGTAAGCGTTGTCACCCGCGAGAAGGGGAATTTGGAAGGTTGATTGGGCCTTAGCGTAATGTTGGAAAGCGGCCATTCTGATGATCAATATTTGATGCAATTTGTTGGGAAAATAGTGGTAAGTATGATGATGTCAAATCTTTATTGAGTGCGTGATGCTACCATATCTCAACATTGCCCATACACCTGGTATATATAGAGCTCTATTCATCAGTGTAAGAATGCTTCTTTAGGCAATACCCCAAATCTCTAAGAAAGCCTCTTCATTCTAGGCATTGGAGACACCCAGAAACAAGGTTCGGTTTCACTCCCGCGAGTTTGCCAAAGAAGGATCCCTAAGCATCGACTTGGAAGATAGGACGATAGGGTAAAATTTCCTGTTCCGGTAAAGCGCATCCCCCGTCCAACTCGGAACGGTCGAGTGGAGAATCGGTTCCCAGAGGGAGCCGATCTTGCGGGGACGAGTCTGGAGAAGAGATACGGGCGTGGGACGGGGTGCCGACCGGATAGCGGAACCAAAGTCTTTACTGGAAGGTATTTCCTAATACGTAGCTGACTCGAAAAGTTGGCTGCAGTGATAATGCTCTGTAATTTCCTTGATATCACTGGAGATCATATTAGCCTCTGCAGTACCTCCTTCATATGTGCACCCCAACTATCCCCAGCATAGATAGGCCTCATCCAATTCTCGGGTGCCTTTCGTCCCCTAACTGAGTACTAGTAGATCACCAAACTCCAGGTCACACAGAGTACCTCAACATGGCTCTATTGGCGTTATCGGAACTCCCCTCGGATGGTTGGAAACTTCTCATCGGGCTCTTCGCCCTCTTCTCAGCAGCCATACTCTCACGATCGCTCGGCGCGCTGCGACCGCGAAAAGGAGCCCTCTTCAACAAGACATCCTCTGCAACACAATCTGAAAAGTCCAAACAAGCTTCAGAAACATGGCAGATGCCAATTCCCAGTCCCTACCCGGACTGGTCAGTAGAAACGACAAAGCCTCTGCCCTATCGCGCATTTCGTTACGGCCCCAAATATAACGTCACCATGGGCCTTCGTTCAGTCCAGCCTGAGGACTGGATTGAGCTGGACAACCACTATCCTCGATACCATGCCGACAAGACTGCTCGAATCGCTGAACGGGGCGAGAAGTGCTTCGGAACAGACCCGGAGGCCTATCCTGCAGCCATGGAGCTTCTAGAAGAATTGTGTCAGTATCTTCCCGCTCGCTATCCTACGATGTTCAAACGGACCGCTGTCGGCATCGACAATCTCTGGTCGGGGGAATCATTCAACATCGTCGAAACACCTCTCAAGGAAGACCCAGCCGCCATTGCCGCTAGGCTCGTGCAAGACGACCTCGCCATCATGATCGAACGGCCCGACGGCAAGTACTACTTGCTCAGCGGTTCCATCCTGCTGGCCGGCTTCTGGAGATTGAGCGACAAGTTTGGCATGTCCCTCGAGGAGATCCACACGTCTGGCGAGGTCCCCCACTACAAGGAGAAGCTGCACAACGGCATGGCCAGCTTCTTCAAGCGCCTGCGCTGCGACCAGATTTACTCCCGCAACAACTACTTTATCCAGGTCGATGACTCTTTGCCCTGGAGCTGGAGCATTGGTGAGGAAGACAGCCCAGTTGTCAGTTGGAGTACGGCTGAGAAAGATAGAGCGGTTGAGCATCACTATTTTCGTTCCGAGAGGCAATCGCTGCGCCGTCTTCCCAAGAGCAAGGCTATTGTCTTCACGATAAGAACGTACTTTCATCCAGTCACTGAGCTGGCTGCGGAGGACTACGTGCCTGGAAGACTCGCTAGTGCTGTTCGTAGCTGGGATGATACAGTTGCAAACTACAAGGGGCGTGAAATGTATGAGAAGGTATTGCTAGAGTACCTCGATAATGAACATCAGAAACAGCTGGACAGAGGTCTGGACTTGAGCAAAGAAGACGAAGTCCGGAGGTATCCCTGGTGAGCAGGTGTCACTATCAGTAGCTGCTCGCTATGGGATGGGGACTATCACTGTAAATGAGGAACTCTATGGCGACCCTCTTGGAGGGGATGTTTCTACACTATTCTTCACTCTACTATTATACCTCAATTTCTAGCGTACAGACACAAGAAGCAAACGCAGCGTGCATGAAAATATTAACCCTGCATTGTTGCTAAAGAGTATATTTCGCTTGGTTTTATTCGCTTCTCTCTGCATGTCGGTTCTCTCTTTGACCATCTGATCCATCTAAAACTAATGGGAAAACAGTGAGAAGGTTAGTAGAGGCGCTGCATCTAGGCGCACACGGGCCTGGAGCTGGGCCCTGGGCAACGCTAGTGGTGATGTCCGGCCACTGCAGCCGCCGAAGGCCACCCGCTGAAGACCGCATTCTATGGTCGCGCACTCAAAACGATTTCGATTTGAATATGATGTTTGCGTTATTAAGCATTGATTCTGATAGAATGATTACAACCTCCTCCCAACGGTAGGGTAGGTATGCCCTACCTACTCCGTTAATGTACTTATGGTGAGATCAAGTTCAGATTGGGCTGGAATCTAGTCAACTCAATTAGTGTAGGTAATCGTAGTAAATTCTCTTTTCTGCACTTCAATCCCTGGGGCAGCGAATATTGAAGTGATCAAAGTTGACTTGCAGTGATGCACCAACCCTGTTACAGCGCAAAGACCCCACGGAAGTGCGATTGCAATCCCCTCCAGAGAAGAAATTGATAGTGCAATTACAACCTCCCCCAGCTGTTCGATCTGTTACCAGCCCACAAGCACCATTGATTGCCTCGAAGCACTCGCTAACCCCTGGTCGAGACGAATTCCCATGGCCCAGATTTTGTCCTGTACAGCTACCAGGTCGTCCTGCCCCAAGGTATGCGGACGCTGCGCAAAAGGCGGCCAATGACGTTTGGGTGAGTACCACGGCGACAATGATTACGGCGCTTTTCATGTTTAGAGACGTTATTGTTATTGTATAGTTGTCTGGCGGGTTTAGAGTCAGTCAATTCAAGATAAATGTCATTCTATTCTAAGTCAAGGCGGAGACTTACTCGATTTCTCATGGATGTGCTTCTGGTGAATGTTACGAATTCTAAGAAAAGTCATCCAAAGTAGGCAAGATTCGTTGAAGACTATCGCGAACATCACATAGTTCGCGGGATGGCGTAATATATAGTGTGCGTACTGGACATATGCCATCTCGTCCCACGCGACGTGCTACAAGAACAGCAGACTTGAGCAAACATCTCTGTAACAAGGCAAACTCTGCGACTCGCCTGTGTACTTCCTTTTGGTCGAGATACTATCCGAACTTGACAGTTGATAGTCGCACAATTCGGGCAGCAGACTGAGAGCAATCCACTAATTCATCTAACAGCAGTGGACAAGTTGACAACTCATTGATCCTGCCATACGTGCTAGCTGACCGTGGCCGGCGTGTCCGAGCGATAGGTATGACGGATTGGAAGTGCGGCGGATTCGTACACGGCTCATGGCTTTTGAAGACAATCATCAATGGCTTGTATTTGATTACTTTTCTATGTCACACGTGCTCCGAGGTTCTTACAATCCACAACCCACATCACGAAGCGACATCGCTTGGAAGTTTCTCATACTGCAGCGAGGCGAAATCCGAACGGTATCAAGTTACCTTAGCATTGTAATTGGCGCGCACTGTCGGTCCTGAGAAACTCTCAATCCTTAGGCGCAGGCGCAGCCTCTGGGTCATCAGCTAACAGAGCCTCAACCTTTGCACCCCTTCTCAACCTTTCCTCCAAGGATATCTCCTGCTCCGGCGAAGTGGACCAACCAAGACCCAGTTCGGGATATTGAAGAGGAACATCGCCATCGGATGGCAAGCTGTCAAGGTAAATAGGCCACGGAGTACCCATCCAGGCATTCCTTGTCTCATGATCTCGACGTTGACTCGATGTCAATGGGTGTACGAGGACACTAAGTTTTGAGCACATGTAAGCATCAAGACAGCATGACTACTGAAAGCAATTACTGATTCTGGTCTTACCTTAAGTTGCCTCGGTTTGCCGCCAAGTAGAAAAAGACGTCAGAAAACGAGGAGTCGGGAACCCAGACTACATGCGAACTTTTGGTCAATCGAGCTCTTTGTCTCATACCTACATGCAGATGAACTTTGGCACTACTCACTCTCATAAGATCCCGCTGGGTGTGGTCCGATAGGAAATTCGTTGACCCTGAATAGTGGGACAGCAACGAACGCGCCTAACCGTGGGTATCAGCAATGATTCAAACAATCTCGTCCAGGTGGGAGTCGTCTTTCAAACCTACCGTCGCGTCGCAATCTCAAAACAGCATCACGAAGAGCAAGGGCAGCAGAAGTCTCAGTCGGGGACTGTAGGAGGAAGTAAATGTGGAAATGCCATTCCCGAGTCCGAGCTTCGACCACCGTCTTCAGATCCGTCTGCGGGGTCGGAGGCGTAGATTGGGTAACCATGGTCATGATGAGGCGCTGCGAGATGTTCTTGCTGATGGCTAATGTTGTTCCTTCATAAGTTTGACAAGTTCATGATTCAAGCCTAGCCGACGGGATGGCTCGAGGCCAAAGTGCGGAGCATTAGCCGCTTAATCACGCAATCAAATCGATTCTCACGTGCGCCGACACAATGAGCAGAAAGCGGCTAGGATCGGATGTAAACAAAGCCCGAGTTGGCCACAGCAAACCATACTGCAACAAGACTATCATCAAAATATTCCTTGGTGTTTTCCTATGCGACTGTATACAATGATTCTCAAGAGTCCTTCGCCACCTCAGAATCATCACGATGCCGGGCCTGGCTCTGGCATGACAGGCCACCCAGGCGGAGGCGCTTTCATTTGTTGAAAGACCTTCGGGTCCATGGAGTTCTCATTGACCCAGCCCAATAAGGCGTCAAAGTCACGGCACACTTTGTGATTCATAAAATCTGGGAATGGTTGCTCCCAATTTTCAACCCAGTTGAAAGTTATCATGTCCACCGACCCGGTGCACTTGATTGCTTGGGCAAGGATATCGAAACAGTGGCCGATGTGGGCTTGATGTTGAGCTCCTCCTGGCCTAGGTCCCTCCTTGGGCTCATAGTCTATACTTAGGAGTCAGAAGTGCATACTCACTCCATACCGAGAAACTTACAATGCTCGTATGATACTTCCCTGCGCAACATATCCAAGCAGTGGAGGTGATGGAAAACTTCTGTTTGCGCAATATATGCACCTGAACCGTAGCCTAGATCTTCTGGAATCTTAACAGCGACTCGTGGGTCCTTTCCAAGTTGCCTCACATCCGCTTCCCCAATGACGAGAGGCCAGACATGGTCACCGATACGATGCCACTCCTTATCGGCTTCTTTGCCAATTCGCTGGCGAAAGACTGACGGCGGATTCGTGTCATATAAGGTGCCGTTCGTCACTCTGCTGATTTTTGGTATATCGAAGCGCTCAAGTATCGGCGCTTGAACGTCTACTTAGCATATCGGGCTGAAAGGCTTTTGACAGCTTGGGTACTCACAGTAAAAAGAGGTTCTTTTCCAATAGTCCTGGGTCTTCATAGGATGCCTCAACGGTGCAGGCCATAGCCACAAAGTGAAAGAGGCGACAAAGAGTGAAATGTTGAGGAAAGTCACTAGAGATAGCCTTTTACTGCAGAGCTTCAACAATGAAGTATCCTTCCCAACACTTCGAGATCCTGCCTTGGTGTCCATGTGAGGCAGTAGAGTCTTTTCGGGGTCCTCATTCTCTTCGAAACATCCCGAGAGACCATCTTCTGTATGTGAAGCTTCCGATGAGCCTGTTAATGATCGGTATATTTCATTCATCATGGTCCTGTATTTCAACAACTCATGTGCGAGAAGATAGGAAGTCTAGCTAGTAGGCCACAGAAGTGAAGGGAGTCTGCTATTGAACGGAGGGAAGGTGTCATCGCTTCGTTCAAGGTAGTCAGCATAAGCAAGCGATTGAGTAAAATCAGCTTGCCCAATCAATTCATGTGAGGTGAAAACCCTCCCCATTGCACTCGAAAGCTTAGATGTCTAAGTACCTGCCTGAAAGATAAGAGGAGGCGAGCGGGACTGCGACTATCAACTCCTACAACTCCACTACATGACGCAGAGAGATCCTTCGAATCCGTCGTCTGGCTTGGCATGTCGGTGAAACGTCTAGGTAATTGATCTATATGTCGTCAACTCCATTGCCCATCTCGAAGCATCCGATGCAACCTTCCTCGTTTGTAACAGTCTCTACCCGGTTGTCAACATCTTTGTGACCTTTTGGCTGCAGCTGCAGGAGACCGATATTCCGTACGTGTAAGTGGTAATCGAGCGTCCGGACTGACGCGATCCCGCCCGACTTCTTCGTGCTTCCAGGCAAGTTTTCGTCACTGGCGGCTAAAGTCCGTACAAGGAGGACACAGCTTCGACTTATCTCAGATGATGCGTGATTTAGGCGTCAATTAGGTCAAAGGCGACTTTTCTTCAAATACCATATACAGGGAACGGCCTCCAGACTTTCTCTTGAACTAGCCATCTCCAAGTCCTACCAACGTCTCTCTTATCAATCACGCCCAGTAGAAAGTCACAATGCGTGCTCAGTACCTCATTCTTGCTGCAATTGGCCTCGTGGCTGCCGCCCCTCTCGGTATGTGATCTTGGAAGACAGCAAGCGCTTCAACAAACTACCTAAGTAACTAGTAAGAAGACGACTGACTTGAGCTACCTCTTTAAGATGTCAGAGGAGCAGATGCCGATGCTGAAGCTATTCCCTTCTACCCAAAGAGGGGAGCTGATGCAGAGGCGGAGGCTATTCCCTTCTACCCCAAGCGCGGAGCCGACGCTGAAGCCGAGGCAATTCCCTTTTACCCTAAGCGAGGAGCAGATGCGGAGGCTGAAGCCATTCCGTTTTACCCTAAGCGAGGAGCAGACGCGGAAGCCGAGGCCATTCCCTTCTACCCCAAACGCGGTGCTGACGCCGAGGCGGAAGCTATTCCTTTCTACCCGAAGAGGGATGCTGATGCGGAAGCCGAAGCGATCCCTTTCTACCCCAAGAGAGGTGCTGATGCCGAAGCTGAAGCCATTCCATTCTATCCTAAGAGGGGCGCGGAGGCTGAGGCCGAGGCCATCCCTTTCTACCCAAAGCGCTCCGCTGATGCGGAAGCTGAGGCAATTCCCTTCTACCCTTAAACAGGCGATCGTTGTGGCATGCTCTAAGTACCATATTCCTGGAAGTACAGATCTGGAACACGGGGAACATGTAGCAGGTCTCGAGTCAGAAACCTTCATGTATCATGGCTTCGACGTTGAAGAGTGGGGTGGACCTGTAGAGTAAGAATCTGGAGCTGGAAGGGTTAAGTCTGGTTGCTAGAATACGCTCATTACTACTTGTTGCAACTAGAATTCTCAACTGGTAACCGCGTCTCAGAAAGTGATGTATCCAGCCCAAATCGTTTTCTTTTTTGGTATTTGTTCGCTCACTCGAGAGCAGCCAAGGATGGTTGATATCAGGCGAATTGATTCTACTAATTACCACGCAGTCGTGCCGGACGCTCGTTCCTCTTCGTTGGCTAGGCATCCGCATCCAGGCAAAGCTTGAACGCTGAGCCTTTCTGATCACAGTCTTTGTCCGGATGGGTGCTATCATAAAGCATCATTCAGATCAGGAATACGAGATTCCCCTTCCGTACCATCGTTTGAGCAAACGCATCCTGAAGGAAGCTTGGCAAAATCTTCAATGATGAGTGAAGCGAATCTTAAGTTACTTTCGAGCCGTAACTTGCGAATGCGACAGCGTATTGCGTAGGATAGGTGTAAGTGGACAGCAACAAAAGTGCCGCATAAACGCAGCGTCAGCCCGCATCTCGCCCACAAACGGCCCGCTACCGGGCCGTGACGTTGTAGATCGCATCATTCGAGCTTCTGTTTTGGGCTTAGGGTACAGGCGGGGTTTAAGGCGAAGTCAAGCACATTATGTAGCGATTCCGCGGGGTCGATAAGCTGTGCTCTTCCTTCGAATCCTTCGGACTTCCGCTAAATCATGTTCCCTAGCGTCGATATAGGATTGCGTCAGATATGCAACACCTTCTGAATTTGTACATGGCATACAAACTATAATCTGATCGCGATACCCTAGCTCTTGTAGAAAGTTACGGGGAACTGCGAGCGGTGTTCCTGCCCGTAGCCCCTTACATTCCTGTCGTCTGACTTAATTCTGCTTTCCTCCACATGTTAGCAAGAACATACGACTTTCTTGAGAAGCTCATCGATGTCGGACATGTTTAGAAAGCTACATTGAGCAGCAACTGTGTATATCAAGAATGTCCAAAATGTAAGCGCATCACGAGGGTAGAAGCTACCGTGCTAACGATTCTGGACTTTAGTCTCCAATCTTTTACTGTACCATGGACAAACAAAGACAAAAGGGAGTACGCTTGGCTTCCAGGAGACGGAAATACCGAGCCTCATGTTGAAGATGAAATTCAAGTCTCAGCAAGAGGCAAATTTCATGTTTTTAGGCAAGCCGTGTTATGCGCAGGTCGTCTGTTGATAGTGTCATTGGCGGCCTTTGGTCTTTACTCTCTCCTCACATCAGACTCCCCATCCAACTCTCAAATGCAGCCCATGTCTTGCAACTGTGGTGAAACAATCGCAGAAGCCCGCGCGAATGGCTGCGTGTACGATTCACTTGCCGCCGCCTGGCTTCCACCACACTGTCGGTCTCCTGAGTTAACGGCCGAGTTCGAGTCTCTGGGCCCAAACGAACCCGACACAACAGGCAACACCTGGGGTTACTGGCATGACAAGAACCAGACGTATCCCATGACACTGGAGGAAGTGAGCCAACTACCAGAGGCGGCCCGCCATGGTCAATATGCTCGATTCTTTACCACGCACCAATGGCATCTCGTGCATTGCGTGTTCTACTGGCGCAAGATGTGGGAGGCAGCGCGCTGTTCTCGGGGAGTCGCGGGCGCATCTTGCGGCAAGGACGGCATGCTTGTCATTGAGAAACGCTACGACACTCTCATGCACATCAATCATTGCATGACCATGTTCTTGATGAGGGATCCTCTCGATCACATTGCCGCCGAAGCTGGTGTCGCGCTTCACTCCGACGAGCTTCACATCGCGAAGCCTCATAAACACCAAGATCAGAGTATCACGGCCGAGAAGACGGGCGCGAAGCACAAAAGCGCGAGCTCGAGTACATCCAAAGACCCTTACGGCGAGACAAAAGAGAGCCATAAGCATGGAAAGAGCGATCCATACGATGACTAGGAGAATCAGTTTCTTGGGCGAAGAAAGGTTCTTGTAAGACATTCATTCCATCATAGGCCGAAGAAATATCATTTTTGTACATCGCCGTGCTTTCAACTTGGTGTACCACTGACCAAGATACATGCGAGAGAAACAGAATGGGCATCAAAGTACCTTACATTCATATCTTGGCGTGCTCACTTTGCGAGGCAACTACAGCCATGGTCACAACATGGGTATGGTTTCTTTTTCGTACATCAAGAAGCTAAAGCACAGGCAAATGAATAGAATAGTCTCGCCAGTTACCTTGTGTGTTTGTGAGCCTCAAGCCCCACTTATGGTCATCAATGGTCCAATGGATTACGAGGCATCTTCCCATGGGGCGGCTGCCTGGTGCCAGTTTTCCAAGCTTATGTTGAGCTGCAACGATGATCTTCCTAGAGAAGACTAGTTGATATGTGCGTAAGATTTGGGGCTGATGTGTCGTCTTCTTTCGCGATTCTCTTCAAATTCTCCAATCGCTCCAGCTTCATTCCCTCAGTGCCCCCATCGCCATGAAGCTTCTCAATTGCTCTAGCCTACTGATTGAGGAGTTCTCGGGGCTGTCTATACCTGAATCGTATGCCATCCTTTCCCACCGATGGGAAGCCGATCATCAAGAGGCAACCTACCAAGATTTTGGAAAGCCTGATGTGATAGCGCGCAAGAAAGGATGGAAAAAGATTCAGCATTTCTGTCGACTTGCATTGCAGCAAGGTTACAAATATGCATGGGTTGATACTTGTTGCATCAACAAACAGGATTTCACAGAGCTGACGGAAGCCATCAATTCGATGTTCAAGTGGTACGCGCGATCTTCAATCTGCTATGCGTACTTGTCAGATGTGGGCATTGACGGAGTTTCACTTCAACATTCCCAATGGTTCACTCGTGGATGGACTTTGCAGGAGCTCATCGCCCCCTCGCGAGTTGAATTCTTCGATAAGGACTGGAACTATATTGGAAGTCGATCCGATCTGTGCGACATCATCCAACAGCGCACAAACATTGACAAGAGCATACTCGTGGCAGGAAGCGGGAGAGTGGAAGGCCTTTTGACAACAATACCTGTTGCCAGAAGAATGTCTTGGGCATCTGGGCGCATGACCAAAAGGGAAGAAGATTTGGCGTACTGTCTCTTGGGAGTTTTTGGAGTCAAGATGCCGCTTCTGTATGGAGAGGGAAACAGAGCGTTCATCCGACTGCAGGAAGAGATCATCAAGGAGACCAACGACTTGTCCATCTTTGCTTGGTCTGCACCAGCAGAATCTCCATTGGGCTATTTTGGGATTCTGGCTATGTCTCCATCGGCTTTTGAGACAGCGAATGATGTCGTACTCAGCAGCGACATCAAGTACAACCCCGAGGTATGTCTCGAGACATGCCCCCGAGTTTTCAGCTGAATCAAGTCAGCTGTGTAACGTTCAAAGAACTGACACCAATTTCTCAAGTACGCCGTCACAAATAAAGGCTTGAAAATCACGACCGAAACCAGTCTCATGCCCGACGGTGCACATTTCCTAAGTCTCCGTTGCCATAGATCCAGCGATCAAGGCCGCCGTCACCTCGGAATTCTTCTCAGAGATCAAGGTGGAAACGTCTTCCTCCGCTGGAAGACCGGCCGGCTCTGGAGTTTGGAGCACAGCGCACCGGGCATCAAACACACGATGTTCATCAGCAAATTCCTCGAGCCAGACGTGGCAGAGACGCTCGTTGGGGACATGGACTCCATCTACCGGAACGCCTTCTGCTTCCCGCCCACGCCGCCAGGGGTGGAGTTTGTCAAGGCCCAGCCCGACGGCATGTGGAGCTCGTCCCGGCGCATGTTTATCACTCAGGGACTGGACACATTTGACGGATTCGTTCAGTACCGAACGTCTGGCGCGGCTGACCAGAACTTTATCGTCGCGTGTGGTTTTACTGGCGGTGGTGCGAATCCTTGGGTGTGTCTTGCAGCTAACAAAAATGAGACGAAGCACATTTTCCAAACTGCAATGAGCGGTGATTTGATGAAGTTGCGCAAGCTTGGCAGCGAGCGTGGGGTTATGAAAACGAAGATTACGTTTGGTATGAGTAGGCGGGTTGAGGATAGACCGGTCGTGTTAAGCCTGGGGATGGAGACGAGGATGTTAGAAGGGCAACCTGTGTTTTCCATCTTCGTAGATCAACGAACTGATTGGGGGGATCTGTGCTCAGTAATGTGAGGCAAGTAGATAGAGCTGGAGAATAAGCCAATTGAATAAATACGCGTCAGTCATGTGCTCATGGATGAGTGAAGCCCAACCGCTGAGGATGTTTCCACATGAGATATTGTCCCTTCAGCAGGGCACATAAGCTCTCTTGGCTTCACCTGCTAGGGCTACTCTTCTCAAGACAAAAAAAGATTGCTCGACGTGTCGTATCGTTGTAGTCTTCCCATAAACCATCTGACTCGCATATTGTAGCCTCTCTTGCAAAAAGAAAACTTAGTCTGACTGTCCCGGCAAGTTTTCCAAGTCGATATTTGTTGCCCACATGAACGCAACCGCCTGTAGCCAACGCAAGCGTAGGCACCTAATTATCAGCCACACCACAGACAAGTCCTCCATGAAGAACCTGCCTCGCTCTGTGAAGCAAGTCGCAGATGAGCTCCACCGTTGTCGAAGACTCTGCCCCTTAACGACAAGATAGAGCGGGTCTAGCCCTCACCAGGATAGACGAGGCCCACGGCAACTGCCCACTTGAGCTCACGATAATCGATAACACTTTCATCGGCCCTCTGGCGCAACGGTAGCGCGTTCGACTCCAGATCGAGATTCCTCGAGATGCCATCGAAAGGTTATCTGTTCAAATCAGGTGGGGGTCAAGTACATCATTGTGATCACACGGGCGTACATCTCAAGACGTTCCCGGGTGAAGGCGAGTTTCTTTTGATTTTTGTTGGCGCAGACATCTCGTGTCCGACCCAGTAATCTGATGTTCCATTCTTGGTTTTTCTGCAACTAGACTCCCTATGCTGAGTTTAATCATCTTTCAATGATGCTCTTGTATCACAGGTCCCCGAACGGGATTCTTTGTCCTTGTCTCACAATCTCGGCAAATGAGCTCGGCTAGGAGTTCCCAATTTAAGAACGAAAGAGGAAGCAACCTCTAGCGAGCGGCACCCAGATGCTGTCGATGATAAATGTGATGAAACCAACAGACTAGAAAACCCACTTGCAACAAGCCCGACGAAAGTTGCTCCAGTTGGAAGGGGTTCTTGAGAGCAGAACCGCAACCTAATTCAACCCAAACCAAGTGCACCTTGACCGACCCCATCATGCAGGAACACAACCGCCTGCACTTCCGCCCCGAGAGCAGCCTTGCGGACAGGGCGCACCCGCATTAAACTGCCAACTAAAGAAGGGGTCTGTCTCGTTCGTCAAGACCGGACCAAGCAACCTTGTTCGGCGGGGTAAGCCCGAGGACTGCCGGAAGACGTCCCTGGACGTGATTTGGATCTGGCCCCATCCCTCCTCCGTGAGGGTCTCGATGCTCGTGCCAAAAACGTATTCCCTGAAGCCTGCCCAGCGCACCGCCGACGCGCACATGGGGCAGCTCTCGGCGTTGGTGTAGATGGTCAGGTTGGCAAAGGCGGCCAGAGCCTGAGCCGGCGTCATCCGGTATGGACCCTGGGGATCTACAAAGATTGCCGAGCAGTTGTCGATGGCGGCCATCTCCCCTGTTTAATGATTAGCAAACTACCCTTGCAAAAGAAAAAGCTTTGTTGGGTTGTGTGAGGTGAGATTCATACCATGCAGAGTCGGGTTGCCTGTGCCAGCATTGTTGTTCGCGCCGGTGCAGACCAGTTCCCCCAAGCCGCCCGTAGTGTGATTCACAATCACTGAGCCAAAGGCCGCGAACGGGCATGGGTTGGGCAGGGCCAGGTTGGCCTGGCGCATCCAGTACGCCCGCGTGGTGAAGTTGATCCCATTGACAATCTTCAGCGGCGGGCAGGTTTCCAGGGCCATGTAACGTTGAAGATCACCATCGCCATGTCCCACGACCGAGGCGACCAGTAACAGGGCTACAAGACCGAGCGGTGCCTTGAACAGGCTCAACGAGAGTGAGGATGCGCGCATCGTGTTGCGCAAAAGAGCTGTGAGGCGAAGCTGCGACGCGGGCTTGTATCCAGATTGGGACAGTTGAACCTTCGGAGAGCTCCAGATTCGGAATAGTGAGTTGGAGGTGCAAAGCAGCTGCGGGAGGTGGCGAAACTCGGTCAATGCTTGTGCATTGTTTGTGTGTCGATGTCAAAGCAGACGAACGATGTAGACTTTCCCACGCGTTGTTTGTAGTAAGGCTATGCAGTACTCGCATCGTGCATTTTCTGCGGCATTAGTTGGGCTTTAAGAGAATGGAGACCGGGGTAGTGAGGTCTTCAGCAAGCAAATAGGAATTGAGGCGGAAAGCCATGGGCTCTATCTGCTGACGTTGCAATCATCAATCTGTTCGTGATAAGAAGATTACGATGGATGCGGTCCGTAACTGTGAGTCTTGTGGCTTACTTGGGCCGCACGCGAATAAGGTGGCTGACCAGCTGAACATTCATTGACATGATCGGACCGTTCCGGGCCGCTCCGGGACCACGCCCGGCTGAAATATGGGTTCTTCCGGAAGCATCATCGGGTGGAACATTGAGAGTGAACGAGGCATGATTATTGAGGCGATCGAGCAACAATTGGTATCTAAGCAAATGGATATCTATAAAACGGACGGAAAATAGCTCTGTTACATGTGACTGCAGCTTTCCCTCCCGCAGAGAGAGCAAAGCTCTTTTTGTGCCACTACCACATCTCTCCCTTTCCTTTCCAGCATCTCAATATCAAGATTATAGTTCGTCTTTCCAATACATGATTCCAGGTCATCTTTAGGAATCCCATAAGGGTTCATGGACCTCCACGAGAGGTCATACGGCTGAGGGGACGGCGACGAGGGCTCAAGCACCTTGGGCTTGGATCCACCGTAGGCGTACATGTCCCGGTACCTACGAGATGGCGGCAGATCGTCCTTTGGGGGTACTGGAGGGCCTTTGGGACTCGTGATGTAATCGCGAACATAGTTGTCGCTAAATTGAGGCGGGCTGTTACTTCGCCCGAACTTCTGATATCGCCCAGCAGCCTTTGTCGGCTTGTCCACGCTGCCGTTCGAGGATGGGCTGCTGCCCTTGGATGGCTTCGGGGTGGTCCACCTCGCGAAGAGCGCAAAGCCGGGGAACTTCTTCTCGACCAAGTTGCGGATCATGGGCGCACAGGCGCACACCACGACGACACCTAGTTCGATTGTCGTCCACCACACAACGGGCGCGTAGTCCCACGTCGGGTCGATGGAGTTTCCAAACACTGCGAGAACCTGAAGACGAATAATTGTCGAGACGAAGCCGACAGATCCGAGAAGAAATACCATGGCAACCGAAACCTTCTTGTTCCGGTTCATTTGGAGGCCTGGAAGCATCGCTATCGGGAGGGCGAGAATAAGAAGGTCCTGGATGATGGCCAAGGCAGAGTTCGCGTAGGCAAGTTGGTTGACATCGAGGCAGGCGCCTGTGTGGATGTCCTTGTTCCAGAATAGCTCGATCGGGTGACACGAGAAGATAGTGAGAAAGCCGATGACCACCTGGCCGACGATAAGGAATCCGATCAGGGTGTATGCAGCGATGCGGAACTTCGGTACGGTGAAGATTCGTAGATAGAAGACGACGAGGGACAGCTTCGCGAATAAGAGCACAAAGACGTACACAATCTCGGCGGCGTATACTGCAAAAGCATTAGAGAAGATGGCTTCAATATGAACGGGATGTACTTACGTAGTCGCAGGATCTGCAGTAAGCCACCCGGTTTAAGATCGTAAAGGTGCTTCCCAAATCCTAAGCTTGACACTGTTGACAGTTAGTTACATATCCAAGCCGGCCGCAAGGCAACAAAAAGCTTACTCAACAGAATTGCAGATACTGGGGCAATCGCAATGACAATCGCCGCAATAATCAACGCATCGTCTAGACTCCACGTCTTTGCCATGTTTTTGGCAAGAAGCCGCAAGACGATCGCAATGACAGCCGTGACATAGACGGTGATTAGAATGGCAAGAATTTTGCCAGTGTCGGATTCGTGAGGGAGATTACACTGCGTTTGTTGCAGTTTCGCGACGTCTGGTTGCCTCGTCAGTCTTCCCATCTTTTCCGCACCATCATCACGACTCTGGAAGTACTCACCCAGGGAGTCTTGCATGGTACAGTTTGCAATCAAGCAAGGGCCGACGAGCTGACCCAGACCGGTGCTCGCACAGGAGCAAGTTGTGTTCGTGAGGTCGCATCCGACCCCTGCGATACCCTGTACGAGGCAGTTCAACTGGGCACCAGAGTATTAGCCAAAGTGGGTTCCATTTCGGAAAAGCAACCGAGCCAAAGGAGGCTCCGACTCCAAATCGAACTTACACCACATGTTGATATATTGCTCAGATCAGGTAGCTGTTGTCTCGCAATCAAATGAACGCGTTCTCCAGCGAAATAACACCCTTCCCCAGCTGTTGCTACGGCGCCAACAAATGACAGAGCAAATGTGATCCATAGCAGACCAAGAGAGGCCGCTGACGATGTTGATAGCCGCATATCGAAAATCCGAAACGAAGTCTCAGCTGCTTTCCTTTTTTTCTGCCCTCGGCTTTTCACAGCTCCATATAGCTATGGTCGTCTAACACGAGCTGTATGTGTCCGAATCGACGTGGTTTTTTCGGTACCTAGTGGGCAAGGAGCCAAGGTCGCCAAGTCGCCTCACCGAGCGCGCATGTACCTCGAAGAAGTTCCCGAGAACGAGTGTTGAAAAAGAGAAATCCAAAAACCCCTTGTCTTTGTTGATGTTCGGGTTCGGTGGTAGTGGGGACAGCGTTGGAGATGCTTCACAAGCGAGGTGGGAGGAAACAACGTTATCAACCTTCCCCCCAGGGGACCCGTTCGTTGTGTTTGCCCCATGGATCGTGACACATCAAGGATAACTGGTCTTTGCTTCAGATGCAAAGAATGATCACACTTCGGGAAAAGACGTCAAAGGGGGGCTCCGGGGCGGACAAAGCTCCCTCCCTGCTGTCTTGCCCCCCTCACTTTCTTGCTGCTGCAGTGCTGCAAGAGCACCCTCCCGTCCAAGTGTTGCGAGGTTTTGTGGATGGGATGGAAATGGTCTAGGAAGCGGTGTGTGAGGGTGTGCGCTATGCTCTGTGCGCTTACGAGCTGATTGGCCGTGTTTCTGACTTTCTGTCGATGTCCTCCCTCCATCACCTCCTAGCCCTGAGTAGCCTCCTCTACTCCGCGCCTAAGGCTATATGAATATGTAATTCCAATCTCAATGAGCAGAAGATCTACCCAGACGCTATGTATCGCGGTAATGGGAAGCTCCCCTGTCACATATTTACCGGCATAAGCATATGTATGGGCTCGACTTGGCAAGCGTCCCCCAGCAGCTCTCGGCCTTTGAACCCGCGCCGCTGCATCACCAGTGGAAGATCTTAGAGTTCTAGCGGCAGATTCAAGCAGCCATGGTGTCGGTTGTCATGTTTCACGGGACTAGGTCTGCAGGTCCATCCCGCTATCTCGCCAACCATTTAGCCGAGCAGAAGACGGTCCATCAAAGCGATCAGTGCGTCTTCCCTCATGCTGTCTTCGTCCACCTCTTTGTCTTTGATTACCCTCTCGCTCCGTCATCAATGTGACTACCCTTGACAAGCTGCAGGAACGCAGGGCCACAGAGTCTGTGTTATTGGGGGGCCAGAAGGAAACGAAAAACGACCGTTCAGGTTCTAGCTGGTAGTCCATGCTGCTAGTGCTCCGGGCACCGAGTGGCTCGGCCAATGGTCCCCCGCCCCTTCGCGACCCTTGTCCCTAACCGGCTGCTGCTCCGGGATGTACGCTGTGATGTTTCACACAGCTCGAGTGTTTCGAAGCCGTCTTCGAGAAGGGCTGGCCAGCATACACAGCGCCCTCTCATTCGTTCCAATCAGCCACATTTGTTGCAGAAACAGCTGCTTCGTGAGGAAGTGAGGGGAAAGCGTTTGGTCTGTGGTTCAGTGGTTGTCCCGTTTGAGTCTAAGCAGCCAAACTCTATTTAGACTCCGCCCATTCCTCTTTCACTCCCGCCCTTTTCTCTGTGCTCCTCAATGTCTGTTCTCGAACTCTATGGATTCCTCTCGCCCTCTCGGATGTTCTTTCTGGCGAGCATGTTAGGCCTAAGGTGACCTCAACGGTGCGTCGAGTTTGGTGTAGGTGCTGATCTATCTGCCTGCCTTGTTCGAGACTTGGTTGACAGCGGATGAGCAACCTCCCCAATCGCCCCCGCCACGGCAGATGCCAGCTACCCGCAAGACTGAATCATGTGTGTCTCTTCTATTTAGGCACTGCCTATCAGAAACCCAGTCAGTTTTCATCTGGGATGGCAGCTAAATTGACTCATCTGTGGCAATCGAGTTAGCAGTACACACCATCAGCAAAAGACCAGGCAAAGACCAGCACTCGGCCCTCCATCTCGTATTCTTTGTTTCTTCTAGAACCAAAGTCTTAGACCACCACCTTCAAACCCTTCGCGACCAGTCTGATCTGATCCTCTCAACAAGACACGTCCGTCCTCTCGAGTCTCCCGTCGGTAAGTGGGAGACGATCTGTATCCAAGCACTCTTTTGAGCCGAAGATTTGAATCTTCTGGTTCGGAGGGACTACTAATCGGTAAGAATCTCCGTTCGGGCGAGATGCGTTCCGCTGCGGGTGATGTGACGGAATCTCGAGCGCGAAAAAATCAGGCGAAATCTCTCAACGGTTGTCAAAAAGCATGATGTGCTTTTGTATGTCGAAACGATCGTATGTAGCATTGGCAGCTGTGTGACGTGAGATTCAATCTGTGATTCTATCGTGTGCAGGTAA